TGGCAAAAGCAAGCCTGAGAGAAAAACTAATAGCAATAAATGCTCATGTCCAAAAAACAGAAAGCTTAAAAATCAACAATCTAATAAACAGTCTCAAGGAATTGGAAAAGAAAGAGTAAATCAATTCCAAATCTAATAGAAGAAAAGAAATAACTAAGATCAAAGCAGAACTAAATGAAATTGAGAACAAGAGAAGTATACGGAAGACAAACAAAACCAAAAGCTGGTTTTTTGAAAAGATAAACAAAATTGGCAGCCCTCTTGCTAGATTGATAAGAATTCGAAGGGAAAGGACTCTAATAAACTCAATAAGAAATGAAGAGGTCACAACAGACACCAAAGAAATACAAAACATTATTTTCGATTACTATAAAAACCTATATGCCCAAAAACTACATAATGAGAAGAAAATGGATGAATTCCTGGAAATATACAACCTCCCTAAGTTTCACACAGGAGGTAATAGAATTTCTGAATAGACCAATCTCAAGCTCAGAAATTGGAGCAGTAATTAAAAACCTCCCAAAACGGAAAAGTCCCAGACCAGATGGCTACACTTCAGAGTTTTACCAAACATACAAAGAAGAACTCATACCTATACTACAGAAATTATTCCACAATATTGAGAAAGATGGTATCCTTCCTAACTCATTCTATGAAGTCAATATCACCTTGATACCAAAGCCAGGAAATGACACAACAAAAAAAGAAAACTGTAGACCAAAATCCACAACAAAATTTTAGCAAATTGAGCTCAGCAGCATATCAAAAAACTAATTCATCATGACTGGGTGGGCTTTATTCCAGGGATGCAAAGCTGGTTCAACATATGCAAATCTATAAATGCAATTCACCTCATAAATAAAAACAAGAACAAAGACCATATGATTCTCTCAATAAACGCAGAAAAAGCATTTGGCAAAGTCCAGCACACCTTTATGATAAAAACTCTAAACAAAATAGGCATAGATGGGTATACCTTAAAATTATGAAGTCCATTTATGACAAACTCATGGCCAATATCATACTGAATGGAGAAAAATTGAAACCATTTCCACTTAGAACTGGAACCAGACAAGGTTGCCCACTATCTCCTCTTCTATTCAACATAGTGCTGGAAGTCCTTGCTAGAGCAATTAGACAAGAGGGGGGAATTAAGGGCATCCAAATGGGGCAATAGGGGCAGATGAGATCAAACTCTTGCTTTTTGCTGATGATATGATATTATATGTAGAAAACCACAAAGATTCAACCAAGAGACTCCTAGAATTGATAAATGAATTCAGTAAAGTCTCTGGATACATAATCAATATACACAAATCAGAGGCATTCATATAAACTAATTACAGTCAAGCCAAAATTCAAATCAAAAACACAATACCTTTTACAATAGCCTCAAAGAAAATTAAATATCTAGGAATATATTTAATGAAAGATGTGAAAGATATATACAGGGAGAACTATGAAATGCTAAGAAAAGAAATTGTAAAAGATGTAAACAGATGGAAAAATCTACCTGTTCATGCATTGGCAAAATCAATATCATTAAAATGTTCATACTACCTAAAGTGATCTACAAAATTAATGTAATCTCTATCAAAGTACTATCATCATTCTTTACAGATCTAGAAAAAATAATTCTATGCTTTTTATGGAACCAGAGAAGACTTCATATAGCCAAAGCAATCTAAAGTAAACAGAACAAACTGGGAGGTATCAATTTACCAGACTTTAAGCTGTACTACAAGGCTATAACAGGCTAAAACAGCATGATACTGTCACAAGAACAGAGACATAGACCTTTGGAACAGGCCTGAGAATCCAGAGATGAAACCATCCACATATGGTAATCTAATCTTTGACAAAGCAGACAAAGACATACACTGGGGAAAATAATCTCTTTTGCATAAATGGTGCTGGGAAAACTGGATAGCTACATGCAGAAGAATGAAACTGGATCCCCACCTCTCCCTTCTCACAAAAAATTAATTCAAGATGAATAACAGACTTAAACCTAAGGCTTGAAACCTTCAGAATTCTAGAAGAAGATGTTGGCAAGAGCTTTTCAGACATCAGCCTTGGCAAAGAATTTTTAAAGACTCCCAAAGCAATCACAGCAGGAAGAAAAATAAATAAATGGAATCTGATCAAATTAAAAAGCTTTTGCACAGCCAAGGAAACTATCATTAGAGGGAATAGACATCCCACAGAATGGGAGAAAATATTTTCTCTCTACACATCTAATAAACAGCTGATAACAAGAATCTATCTAGAACTTAAAAAAATCAACAAGAAAAAATCAAACATCCCCATCAATAAATGGGCAAAGCATTCCAAGGATGTGGAAACACACTATTGCAAGGATATAGAAACAACCCAAGTGCCTGTCAATTCATGAGTGGATTATTAAAATTTGGTATATGTGTATAATGGAATATTACTCAATTATAAGAAATGACAGTTGTTGAGAAATATGATTGAGGAATTAATGAGATGTGGCTCATAAGACCATTATTTTATTATATCACCCAATATTGCTATATTAACGACAGAAACAGGGGTTTGCAGGGTTTTGCCCTAAAGGAATGTGTGAACTCAATAGTTCACTTATCAGAAGCTGCTATCAAGGGATGGCTCTCATGGCTCCAGTAGGGATGTTTTCCAGGAAGGCTTCCCAGTATCTCAAAATCTGTGCACATCCCTGTTTCCTTGAAAGACAAGGCAGGGCAAATATGGCCCACAGGTTGGGAGCCAGAGACAATGAGTGCTCTTTGCCTAGAGATGCGCTCCTGTGGTTATAAACAACCTGTTTTGTAGAGATAGGTTTCCTGCTCTCTCTTGACTGTCTGCTTTTAAGTCCACAATAACTAGATCAAAGAAATATAGGGTCGCTTACCTCCTTTGTTATGCCTTTGTTAATTGACAATTACCTCTTATAACTTAGAAGTTAGCCCTTGCAAGACTTTGTACCTGTTTGTTCACCTAGGTAGATTAGAACTTGTTAGAAGCCCTTTGAAAAGACTTTGTCCCCAATCCGCTACCTGTCTCCCATAGCAACTGCATTCCCTGATATGTAAATGTGGCACTATGGCAACTGATAATTGATATCTGCGGTTATAAAAACCTATATGAATCTAACCATATTGCTAGACGTTCAGGGGGATATGTCCAGTCTCCTGAGTACCCCACTGTTATTCTGATCTTTTTATATAAAACTGTAAACTATACCTTAGTCTCTGTGTATTATTTTATTCTCTCTATTTCCTATCAAGTTTTTAATCCTCTGTGGCGACCCCTATCTAAGGGACCTGGCTTCGTGGGGAGAAGTAGCTAATCTCCTCACAGGCCTGCCTCAACTCCTCCCTGCAGACACTGATGTAGCACCTCTTACATTTTCCTGGATTGAGATTGAACCCATTATCCGAAGTGAGGTATCACAAGAATGGAAGAACAGGCTCCACATGTACTCACCATCGAATTGGCACTGACTGATCAACACTATGGTGCTCACATGGTAGTAATGTTCTCCAGGGATTAGGGAGTTGGGGAGGATAAGCTCACAATTAATGGATGCGTTGAGCATTGTAGAGGGGAAGGGCATGCCTATAGTCCTTGCTTGGGTGAGGCAAAGACATAAAATATAACCAAAATGTTTGTACCCTTGTAATATCTTGAAAGAAAAATAAATTAATTTTAAATAATTAATTAAAAAATCCACAAGCTTGCAATGATAGTGGCAAGACTGCATATAACCCCTCTCTCATTTAGGATAGTTATGACTTAATCTATGGGGTCACACAGAGCCTGATATAGGAAGAAGTTGGATGGGGAATGAGTTAGATTTCATATAGAATGTGTCATGACTCAGACTTAGACATTACACTGAAGCACAGAAAGAACCAGACTGTCACCAGGACTCATCACAGTGACAGGGCGATTGCCAGGAATTTGCGGCAATTTGTTGATAATGATAAAACTTGCCTTTATTGCTCTTTGTTTGTTGAGGGGCTGTAGTTGATTTAAAGAGCCATATGAGTGATTTTTCCAGAACACTTCATAGCGTATTTTACAAAGAGTGGTACTTCAGAAAGAAGTGAGCCTTATCCACTTCTGCCCATCCATCCTCCCTCTCACTTTTGGTCTAATTTAACCAACATATATTTATTTTTGTATTTATTAATTCAACAAGTGTGTATTTAGTAACTTAGATAATGTATTGAAGTAATAGATAGTTCCTATCCTCAAGGAGCTTACAGTCAACTGTATAGGAGACAGACATGATTGCAGGGACATTATTAAAAATGCCATTAAAGGCAATTAACAAATTTGGTTCTTACAATTTGTATGGCATGTCTCATGAGTTTAAGATTGCAATTGTTGCTGAACCTCAGGAACAATAGGAATCAGATATTGTTAGGTTCATCTTCTCTGGACTCTTCCCTGCAAGCCTGCTTCGTCTCCCGTGCTCTCTCTCACTCTAGGTTTCAATCTCCCTCTTCCTTTTCGGTCACTCTTTATGTCTCTCCTTTCCAGTTCATCCAGTTTATATAAGGGGCATCAAACTATTTTTGTAAAGGGGTATGTGGTAAATATTTGAGGCTTTGTGGTCCATATGGTACCTGTTGTAATGCCTCAATTATGCTGTTATAGCCTGAAATCAACCGTGCAAAATATGTAAGTGAATAATGAGTGTGGCCGTGTCCCAATGAAACTTTATTTATGGACACCGCAATTTTAATTTCATATAATTTTTGAAACAAAATATTTTTATTCTCTCAATTTTTTTCAACAATTTAAACATGTACAAACTATTCTATTGTAGTTCATGGGCTGTCCCCAAACAGGCAGTGGGCCAGGTGTGGCCTGTGCGCCACAGGCTGCCAAGTGCTGCTCTGTGCAGTAAGAATACGGGGCAGCTGTCAGCTCACGAACCTTATATATTACAACTTGGATCAAAATAGTTTTTAAATTCCTGACTTAAAATTCTTCCTGATTATCAGCCAGAGGCCGGGGATGTGTACAAAATCATCTTTCCTAAAACAAACATACAGAACAACATGTCAGCAAGTGGAAACCGGTACAAAAGATGGGGCGAATTTCCAGTAGAATGGTAACTCTGAGAAGGTGAAACATTGTGTCAAGTTCAAAAATTTAAACAGGCTATTTCATACAGAGACCTGGAGAGATCACAGTTAAGAAGGTACAATCTTTATTTTCTGATTTTTATCTTTAATTGACCTATAAGTATCCTTAAACTAAAAAGAGACATTAGCACAAAAGGTGTGATGTATAACCAGAGAAATTATACCTCTCTTTGTTCAATTATCTGGAGTAAAGATTGAGATGGGGATTATGCTAAAGACAAGGGCAGGAAGAAAAGCAGCCCCCTCTACAGCCCCCTCTACATAGAGCCCTTCTCTATGTCTGGGAGTTTGGACTTTTTCCAAACTCATGATGGCTCTGGGGCGAATTGTGTCCTCCCCGACCCTCAAAGACATTGCAGACCCACGTCCCAGTATTTGTGAATGTGACCTTATTTGGGAACAGGGCTTTTGCATATGATCAAGATAAAATGAGATCATTAGAGTGGGCCTTAATACAATATGACAGATGTACTTATGAAAAGATTTAGACACAGAGAGAGACATGCATAGAGGGGAAACAATGTGACTACCAGACAGGGAGAAAGAAAGCCATCTCTAAGCTGAGGGATGCCTGAGGCTGCCAGGAGCTTAGAAATAGTCATGGAACAGATTCTCCCTTACAGCTCTCAGGAACCAACTCTTAATTTTGGACTTGTAGCCTGCAGAACTGTGAGACAATAAATTTCTATTTTTTAAGCCACCCGGTTCATGGTACTTTGTTATGGCAGTCCCAGGAAACTAAAATAGTGAGTCATAAGGACACTGTTTCCTGAAGTTTTGCTTTGCACGGGTTACTGATGATGTTGACAGTGAGAACAGTGATATTAAGTTCCAAGTTTGAGATTGTATGTAGCAATTTGAAATCCTTAAAGACAAGTAAAAAATTATTTAGTGCTAAGATTCTGGAACAGGTAGAGGACCAGGCTGTAGAACCCAAAACTGTTCACATGAGCATTTTCCTCCCATTAGAATGTGCTGGTTCCTTGACTTTACTGGAAGCAGCAAGAGCAGTATTAACATCAATTGATCTAGTAGGTTCAGCCACAGAGTGTACTATTAGTTCAAGGAAAATGAAACTATAAAAGTCTATGATATTTGTTTGTTGTAAATGTTTTTGTTATTTAGCTGTCAGGGGCTCTGTGATTTTTTGTGCCAATTCTCTTTTAATTTTCTTAAAAATCTAATAATTGTAGACTTCAGAGTTTTGTAGACAGATTAAGAAATGATACTCGCCATAAGCAGTCAATGTGAATGTCAGTCTTTTCATGGAGCCTGCCTTTCTACATGGCTACATGGCGTGCACTGACATGGCTTTCAAGTCACTGCTTTTTTTGTTATTTTTGGGGTTTTTTTTAGTTTTGACTTGATTTCTGAGCCAGAATTCTATTTCCTTAATGGTTGCAAACTTGAGTCTATTAATGAAATAATTCAGAGTAACTGTGCATCTTAATGAGGTAACAGTGATCACAGTACTATCTTAAGGACTGAAAATATTAAAATTGTAGAGTTTCAAATTATCTCCCAATAAATTTATTCCTAAAACCCACAAAATGTATTTCACTGGTAAATATTACCTGGAAAGATTATGTAATGAGTTTAAATAAATTATTTTTGTTTGTTTTTGTAAAAGAATCTATTGCAAATAGTAAGTTATAATCACCTGAAGATGAATCACGTGCTAAAAATCTAAGATGAAGTTCCAAACCCATTAGATGAGAGAAAGGGACTAAAGACTGTTCCCAAAGAACCGTCTCATGTGCATGATCATCTGGCATCAACTTTCCAGCTCTACATTTCAAATAGAATTATTTAAGGATATTGGATGTACCAATGAAGACAGGCAAGATAAGCCTGAATGCAGAAGTATCACAGGTAATGTACTGTTAGTAGGGGTAGATATCTTTCTGCTAGGTTGAGAAGGGGGTTCGGCATAAAATGAAATCATGCAGAAAATTATTTTGCGGTTCTCAATAACTTGTCAGAAAGTTTGGCCGCCAACAATTCCTGCCACCACCTATTTGTGTATCTTTCCAGCAAGAGATGAAGTCAATTTTCCCTCCCTTTGGGTCTGTGACTTGCCTTAATAGAATGCGGTGGACTTGACACTGTGCAAGTTATTCTGGGTTTAGCCCTTAAAAGGCTGGGGAGCATCTGCGGCTGCTCTCTTGCAACCTAGTTGCTGAACGAAGTTCAGGCTTTTCTGCTAGAGAGAAAGACCATGTTGAAAGGCCCTGGAGCCTGAGACATCATGCAAACTGAGAGAGACCACGTGGAGAAGAGCAGAGACACTGCAGTCACTGTCAGCACTCAGGACTCAGAGCTGTGAGAGAGGCCGCCTTGGCCCATCCAGCCAGGTTCATCCAGCTTGAGTGACCTCACCTAATACTATGGGGAGAAGATCTGTCCTGTCAACACAGGCAATGGTGAGAAATAATAAATTGCTGTTGATTTAAGCCACTGAGATTTGGAATGATTTGTTATGCAGCAAGTCCTGTTTATTGTACTGAGGTTGAAGAAGTATGATTATCTTCCATCTGACAGAGAGGATATTAATAGAGGTGTAGATGGCTAGAGTAGAGATCAAAATGGAAAATAATGTTTTTTGTTTTGAAAGGAACTACAATAGCATAGTGATCCTGACTTTCTATGGCTCCTTTATTTACTTTGCCTAAAGGGAGGTGAAGGGAATTATATCTTGTTTGAATCTGAAAGAGGAAACAAAGCCATTTGTGGTCCAGTGTTTCCTCTTCTATTGGGAGTGAATCCACGAGAAAATTCCCTGTACACCTTCTCCTCTTCTGACTCATCTCTTAAAGTCTTAAAGGGGATAATTCCCACCTGGCACGGCCTGTCCTGTTCTTGTACTGTTGTAACTGAGTGTGCATATCTATTGAAATCTGAGGTTTGGTGTTAGTAAGACAATTTTCATGCACATATAAGCCATATTCTACATTAACCCCATCAGTGAGTATTTGATTCCCCTCCATCAGCTCTCTTGTCTAATTACTCAGTTGTTTAGGAGCTTAGTGGAGGGTAGAGCTATGATATGTATCACCTATTAAAGACTGATGCTATTAGCCCCAGATCTCAGAATAATGTCTTAAAACTCAATTTATGAACAGAAGTTTTATAACATGCTTATTAACCACTTCGGTCCAGCGCTCACTGGCCGCACACCTCGCCCACAGCCGTACTCACAGTCCGCACGGTAGTGTGTGCTGTGCATTGAAGACGAATCCGTTTTGCTCTTGTGTGATGAGGAAAGCTTTAAAGCACTGACAGCTTGTTTTACTTTACAGGCAGCTTTACTTGTCATGTAAATCTGAATAGGTAACATGTACATATGTGTTTTCATTACATTATTTTTAAATGTTCTCAATTTTATTTTGATAAATGAAAAATTAGAAAAGTCATATCACGGCTGTCAGCTAAAGTCGATGCTTGGCTGTGCGCGTTCATCTGTGGTTGTCGACTACAGTCAACACTGGTCGCGAAGTGGTTAATTCCTGACTATATAGTCAAGAGGGTATTTAGGTATATAAAATATTGATGTCCAGGTATTTGAAAATTATTTGCACTGACTAAATCAATATTTTTCCTTTACTGTGAAAGCATTTTCAAGTCATACTTTCTGATTTTAGGGAACATCCTAGTTTTTTTAAAAAAAGTACACTATGGGAAGGCACAGATTATTTAAAAACAATTTTGCAAGGATGAGGGCCTTTGTGGCATAATTGCATAAAAGTATATGGAGTAGGAATCAGAAAACCTAACAGTTTTATTTATTTTATTTTTCCATTCCTTTTCTTTCGATTCCTCAATTTCCTCAGCTAATTAATAAAGAACCACTTAACTTTCCAGGTGGTTGCAAACATGAAAAGAATAATGAATAAATATCCGTAAAAACACCTTGAAAATAATCACAAACACTAAAATATAAGATATTATTTAATATAGCATCACAAATATGCATTGTCATATCTTTCTGGGAGTTAGCTGTCTTCAGGTATACACTCTAGGCTGTGTGAAACTTTGCAATGTTTTTCTGTTTGGGACCCAAGGAAACAGTTATACAATTCTATCTGAAGTTAAAATGAAAGTTGAGTCATAACCATTACCAAATGCAACAGAGCTTTCTATAGTTGTTTTGCTGTCAGTTCACATTTTTAAGTATTATATATATCCTGTTTTCTTAGACCTTATGGCTTCATGGTTGACCATTATTCCCTGATTAAAGTTAAAAACCACAGCACCCTTAACAGGTCATAAATCATCTCATTCATAAAGGTGCAGGTTACGACAGGGGTGCAACCTCATCGCTGTTATGGATGACTGTTCCTTATTAGGCAAAACATACAACAGGTATATTTTTTAAGCCCATCGAAATGCTTTTGGGTTGAAATGGTACAAAGAACATCTGTCATTTTCCCTCTCAAACATCCATCAGGCAAAATTATTAAGTCAACATGCATCATTTTGTATAATAGAACTAAAATCACTGTTATAGAACATAATTCTGGGATTGATTTTCCCTGCTTTGAAAATAAATGATTTGGCTTCACATTCATGGTTATGTAACAGCAGGAGATCATTATCTTGTGACAAAACTCTATTTTATTGACATTATCTCTAAATGATCACTTGATAGGATATATAAAATTTAATATACATTCAGTTTAGAAAGAATTCCATTCATGCCATACTGACATATATCTATTTTTCTATTTATTTTACAGGAAACATTTGAATTCAAACATAACATTTATTTTTGTGCTTTTGTTTACTTCCTGCTTAAGTCACTCAGCAAATGTAAAATCCTGATGAAGGTTTTAATCAAACACACAGACTTTGACATCAAATGGCCTGAGGATGAATCCTGACTGCAGTAGTGTGATCTTGGGCAAAGAGCTCACTAGCTCTCTGACTGAACTTACTAATTTTTGAAACAAAAATATTAATAATAATGTGAAATTCGTATGATGATTCTTGTATTGAATGAGTTTATACATATAAAGTGCTTAGAACAATGTCTGGCACATGGTAAGAAGGATATGACCAACATTCAGTTCATACTATTCACCCTTTCTTTCATTTTTCATTCATTTAAAAATTATGTGGCCTAGAGAAACATATTTAAATTCTCTGAGCTACTGTGTGCTAATATTACCTACTACCTTCTGGTTGTTTTGGGTATTATATAAGGCAATATTTGTAAATTATATTTTTAAATGGTATAGTAAATGTCTCTTACATAAATTAGCCAATGCAGTTTTGAAGTGAAAATTTTTTTTAAATTTTGGAGGGCATAATATTAATACTACAGGAAATCACATATTGCAATGCTTTACTTGAAAGTTGTTTCCAAATTGACTATACATTGCCCTGTGTATTTTATTTTTCCTTTTCCAGTTTCATCCTTTACTTTTCCTAATTCTACACTGTGCCCTAGAAGGCTGACATCTATGGATCGTATCAATCATACCCTTCCTGTGTAGCTTCCAAGTGGGTTTGGCATAAAGGGGACATCAGTGGGAGATTCAAAGTCAAAGTTGAGGGAATTTAGGGTATATATTATATTGACTCTCTCTCTGACGAGTAACAGGAGATTCTGTGTACCTCTGTAAAGGCCATTGGTTCTGATAACTGCTTCCTCTCCTTGTCCTTGGGTCCTTCAGGACAGTTCTGCAGGTAGTCGTGGAGCAACCCAGTCTTCCTCTTTCTTTCTTATAGTTCTCAAAAATAAGTGTAGAATGTGCTGGGAATGCAACATCCTGAGAAGAGGAGGAGCTGGCGGGAACTGCCTGGGCTCTGTTCTAGTCCCTCCTAGAACAGGATGCTTTTCAATGCCTTAACCCACATTTTTCTGCGGTGTACAACTGAGGGTGGGCTGCTTTCCGCTGTCTCTCATCTTGTTCCAAGTGGGGCACAGGCTGACAAGATTTCATCTGCCCCACACGGCTTTCCTGAGCCTGGGGGGCCACGAATCCTAGGCTCTGTTGTCCCTTCCTACGTGACTGTAAGTAATGAATCTACCATGGAACTTGCAGAATGTGTGGGTGTTTTTTCTCCCTGGACTCAGAAAAGTTGGTAACCAGTGCACAGCGAACCTGCTTTGTAAGACATGCAAGAAGTAAAGCTCTTACCAGCATAGGGAACTGCACTAACCTTTAGTTTCCCCGATTCACCCTTTTGAATACCACCTTTATTAAACTATCTTGATTTGTTCTAACTAATAACATATACCAAAGTATTGCAATTTGAGTGTGCCATCGGTTTGTATCTAGATCCTCACTGATCCGTATACCCAAGCTTGAATTGTGGAGAGTCATATCTGAAACAGAGGAAAATGTTAAGTGCTTCGAGAGATGAATTTCACAGTTGTTAAAATTCTTCAGTTTGTTCAAGGTGGCAGTTGAAATGCTTGTTTTATGTGTAACTATTCTGAAGACATGGACATATTGGTCACCCTCAATTTTATAAAAAGTGTTAAAAAAGTATAGTGCCTTTCAGAAACATAAGGTCAGATTAGCATTCACTTGGATTTCACAAGGTAATGAACATAGATTTGAATTGTAAAGTAGCTGTAATTATCTTTTTTAACAGACACAGTAACTCTTTTTGGCAACTAGCACTATAATTATAGACATTGTGTTCAGTACAAACTTCCGTGTTTTTGACAGGCTAGAAGGTAAAAAGCTACACAAGAATTTCCTGTTGTTAGTCTCACTTTTTGTCTCTTCACATGTCTTAACAGCTGAAACTATGACTCAAATGGGATTTGCACTTCATTATTTATGACATATTGTCCCCTTTAGAGAAATAAAGAAACTATGCATTCACAGAATAAGGTTAATTTTAGTGCTAGGATGCAATCTACTGTTTGTGTGATGATAACGATCTTTCTAAATAATAACATATACCCAAATATTGCAGTTTTGGATAGGGAGAATAATACTAAAAAAGAATAGTAAAAATGAAATTATTCCTAATAATAAACTATAAGAAATAAGAGACATTGGGAACCACCAAGCACATCATTAAGCTCAGAATAAATTCTATAGTAGAAATTTTAAAATGCATTTCTGTCTGTGATGTCATTTTGGGAGTTTATGATGCGTAGAAGTGGTCACCAGAGTCATCCTTTACTATCCAAGCAATTCTGTCCCAATTAGGGACAGAAATATTCACACCAAAGGAAATTTCAAACCACAGAAACACATGTCACTGTCCTGATTTTCGGATCCCCAATTTGTCTCACACCTCACCTTTTTGGCAGATCTTAAACTTCCTACCTCCCCTCTACCAAATTTGATTGATAAATGCTAATGTGTTAATGAATACCAATGAAAGATTTCATTTTATCTTTATAGAAAGAAAATCAAATTAAAATAAAAATAAA